GCCCCCACCGCCCCTCTCCTCTTGGTGCCCGCAGCAATCAGGACGACTACCAGCTGGTCCGAAAGCTCGGCCGAGGGAAGTACAGCGAGGTCTTTGAGGCCATCAACATCACCAACAACGAGAGGGTCGTCGTGAAGATCCTCAAGGTGAGTGTCCCGTTGATGGTGTGCGAACTCATGGTGGCTGGGAGCGAGGGGGAGAGGGCTGGGTTGGCAGGGCCAAAGGGCTGTTGGATCTCCTCTTTCGTCGCAAAACTTGTGTTTGCTTGTTAAGGGCACTGGGACGGTGGGTTTGGAAATGGATTTGGCGTCCTGCGTGCTGTAGCAATGTTTTGATGTCTCCACCCCTCCTTGTCCAGCTAGCTCTGGGCTGGGAGCTCCTCTGGAGGGGGAGAGCTACGAGTCCTGACATTTGAACAGCGTTGCATGTGCTTGGCAAATCGGATCTGGCAATGCCTGTCTAAAACAGCCCAGGGACTGCCATGTCAACAGGAATGCGAAGCCCAGAGGGGGGAATCCTTCTGTTAACCTCCAGACAGCTGGCATGTGGCCTTTCCAGAGCCAGGCTGCGGGATGCTCAGCAGTCAAAAAAGCAAAATTTTATATTCAGTCCTTTTTAGAGGATCTAACATAGGAAAGAACTTCACCACAGTTGGACCATAAACACTATGGAAACTTGAGAAGACTCAAGGAGCCCATCCAAAATGTGTCAGTGACAGTGACCTGTGTGCTGGGGTGTTAGCCTTGGTGGGGTTGGGGACCTTCGTGCAGCAGTGGTAGGTTGTAGTTTGGGATGGCTGAGTGCAGAGCATGGCTTACTGTGTTTGACACTGAAGCAACAGGCTCGCAGCAAGCTGTGGTAACTGAGCAGCACCCTGTGCTGATGATCTGGGAGTAGGCAGGGGAGAGAAATGAAAGGTTAGAATTGAAGTACATTTGGTTCTGGCTTGGCTGACACTTGTGGCTGTCACTTGTTGGACCAGCCACACTTGTCACTTGTTCCCCAGGAGCATGTGGGAACTGATCTCTGACCCTGGGTGTTCTAAGAATTTGGGCACCCGTTCATCCACAGCATGCAGGGGGGTCTGAGCTCAGCGTGCCCTTGCAGCCACTAAGAAAAGCAGCTCCCTAGGACATGTGTCTCTGCAGGGCTGTAGCCTTAAGGCATTTGCTAGATCCGCTCGGATAGTGTGTCTGGCAGTCTCTGCTGACATCCCCACTCACTCACTGTGCCTGCTTCCTTGGGATCTGCCCTAGCCTCCCAGAGAACTTGTCATGGTTTGTCCAGCCAGCGCTCCTGGGAAAGGTATGATCTTCCATCTGTCTCTGGGAGGAGGCACACACACCCTGACTTTGGCTGTGGGCAAGGAGGTGGCCAGGTGAGCTGTCTGGGAGAGTCTGTGGCTGAGCCTGACGTCAGGGCAGAGTGGGGAGGCTCACGTGCCCTCGCCAGGCCAAGTTCCTCTGGCATGCTATTTGGGCCTCCCCCTCCTTTAGATGCTTTATGTGGTTTGAGCTTTTGTCTTTTTTTAAGTAGGTGCAGGCAGGAGTTTCTGCAATGAGACACTAGGCACAGGTAACCAGTGCGGAGCTGGCATTCATGGCAGGATGGCTTGTGGCTGGACTGGGGAAACTGGGCACTTGTGCATGCTGCTCTGGAGCCCTTGATGGCCTCTTCAGGACTGCTGTGGTTTATTGAGATCCCAGGTCCTGTCCCACATAGAAAGGCACCAGGAGGCTGAGAAGAGATTGCAGGGAAAGTCATCAGAAATCTTGCTGCTTGCCTCTTCCCAGCCCAGAGAGCCTCCCCTGGAGCGATGCTCCTCTCCCTGTGGCAGCCAAACTCTGTCACGTCTAGGGAGCCTGTCAGCTCTGGACGGTGAGTCAGCTTGCAAGAGTCATCTGAGGGCAGCTGGGTGCTCCTTCTCCTTGGGGCCTGAATGTGTTGCCTTAATGCCCTGCAAGCAGGAGACTGGTTTGTCCCAGATTTGAAGCGGATGGTGTTGCCACTGGTTCCCCTGGCTCTCCCCACTTACATTAACATGCAGACAGCATTCCTGGGAGCGAGCAAGGAAAAGCAGAAGGTCCAGATAAATAAAGATGAACTTTCTTCTCAGTGGAAAGTGGGTCAGTGAAAAGTGAGTTTCAGAATACCACGTTGTGTTATGTTATGAAAACCTGTGAAGTGTGGCAATAACATCACTCTGATCTGTGGAAAGTGACTCTGGTTTCCTGTAACTAGACTCAAACTTAATTGCAAATGTAATTGCATGTATCTACAGTGGAGCCTTAGCAAAGAGGTTGGGTGTCTCTGTTCCTCCAAATTCAGGAGGAATTCAGATCCTGTGAGGTGAGAAATGCAACCAGAAATGTTCAGGATTTTGTATGGCTGCAGGGATGGGACAAAGGGGAATACTGCTGCTGGGCGATGGATGTGGCTGTTTAGCACAGTTGCTTCTTTAAGTTTTTTTGAAAGGACAGTTGATGTTATGTGTTAGAGTGAATTTTAGCAAGAGTCACTGTTTTAATATCTCTGCCTCATGGGAAGTGACTGATGTCTCTTCCCAGCCTTGCTCTTTGAAGCATCTTGTCCTTACTGAGCTCAAGCTAGCACAGAGCAAGTACTTCTTCTGCCTCTGCCTTTTCTTCCCCTACTTTGGTGTTGTGCTACCTGAACATCTTGTACCCTCCTCCACAGAGGTCAGGAAATTTTATCACCCTTTGTCTGATGCAGAACTGAGCCACAGAGATTTCCTGTGTGACTTTGGGCAAGTCCCTCAGCCTAAACAAAGCTGAGACTAGAGCACAGGTCCTGGTTTAGTGCTGCATGAAGGGTCAGATAACGGATCTTCCTTTTCCAGCAGCCACTCACCTTGTTTGCGAGTGCCTCATGAAGACTTTAGCACTGGACAAGACCAGGGAGCTGATGACTCTGATTGGTACCACAGTGCCCCAGGCCTTTTGGGCTTGCATAAAGCAAGGTGCCCCATTTCCCTGGCCAGTACCCAGCATGTCCTTTCAGTTCTGCTACCCCAAGTGCAGGACCAGGCCCAATCCCACGGGAAAATGGTATATTGGTAGTTGTGGTCATAATGCGTGTCAGCAAAGGAGGAGAATTAAGAACGTGCAGATAACAATGACATTACCATTTCCTGGGTCAAGTGCTTTTCTTTACAGATATGATACTCTTAATGTTACTTTTCCTGGGAAAACTCTGCAACTCTTTTTTAAAAGGCAAAACAAGCGGGTTGCTTCTCACTCCGCTGCAGCAGGACATGGGGATGCCCTGTGTAGGATGGTGTAGGCAAAGCAGTGGGGCAGGAGCCTGGTTTGCCACACAGACACCTCCTGCCAAAAAGCTTTTATCTTGAGAAGTGAGGTGGAGGGCAACTCCCCACCTTTTCAACCTGTTCAGGGAGCAAAGATTCAGGAAAAAAAAAATCCCAGGGCTGAAGTGGGGGTACTCTGCACTGTACTGACCTTCCTACCCCTCACGGGTAGGAGGGCCTGGAGTTAGCCAGCAGCTCTGCTCCCACAGTGCCTCACTGGTGTTGGAGGCTCCTGTGGGCTTTTTGATCTGGCTGGCATCAGTACAGCTGTGGACATGCTTCCTGCCTGCTTCGGGGCGGGACATGCCAGGAAGGGGGACTGTGTGAACATGTCCTGTACGTGCTGTCGTGTCTTGCTTAAATTTGATGCTAAGGTTTGACTCCCAGGATGAGGTCTGACATTCCTCAGCACATACGAAGGAAGTTTAAGACATACTTGTTTCCAGTGAGTCATGTATGGTCTGCGTCCAATGCAGGTATCTAAAGCACAGCTCTGCTCTTCCATATCTAACAACATAGATTCAGATTTTTGGTGCACTGCTGAGGTCAGTCTGTGCTGTCCCTTTGATGAGCTTCTCATTTCTGTTTTCTGCTAATGCAGCTCCAGAGTGTCTCCCAGTGTGCCTTGAAAGGGAATCCTCTGGTCTGGAGTAACAATGTTCCCGAGGGAACTGTTGCTACTCTAAAGGCCAAAGGTTAACTTTCCAAATTTCTTGTAACTGTTGTGGGTGATATTTTGTAGTGAGAACAGTGCTGTTAGAGTTACGTGCAGTTAGGGCTGTTGGTGAGTGTTGGCTGTACCACTGTGTCCTTCACAGCCCAGTCTCCTGTTCCATCCTGGTGTCTGCTCAGGGTGGAGATTACAGCATCCATGTTGGCAAGTCTGTACAGGAGTCCTCCTGCTTTCCTGATGCACCCATGTGTCCATGTACACTCTACTTGCCTGCAAAGGATTAAACCCATCAGAAAGAGGCTGTTTTGTCTCCTTGTGTGGTTGCTCTTTGCATAGGCACAACACGTGGGTGGAGGTAGAGGAAGAATGGTGCTACAAGGAGAGGGACCAATGAAATGGAGGTTCTGCCACAGTGATGAAATAGCCCCTTTCTCCTTTGGTGGCTTTTGTCCCTCTGTGCTGAGTCCATGCACTGGAACTTTCAACCATGTACATGGTTTCACAAGTGCATTCTTGTTTGTTTGGCTTTGTTTTTCCCCTGTTGCCCCATTTGGGCTGTGTGAACCCTCCAGAGCTGCTGCTTGTACCAGGCACTGCTGGAAGGTCCTTCCAGTGTTGAACTCAGATTATCACTCTAGTAGCTAGAGAACCACTTGAGGGAGGTAGCCCTGTGGCTCTGGTGAACTTTCTTCTGTCTCTAGAAGCTCAGAGCCCACATACATGTTCTAGATGGGGGCTGAAATGACTCCTGTGCTGGTGTGCAGAAGGGATTGCACAGGGAAATAGGATTGGATGATGTTGGTCCCTCAGGCTGGAGCTTTTGACTGGATCGGTGACCTTCCACCAAAGCCGTTCAATGCCTGCTCCTGGTGGCTCTGTGTCTCTCGCTCCTCCTGTGTTTGCATGCACTCTGTCAGCTCCCCCTGGCCCACTTCCTCCTCTGGCAGTCTTGAAATGAGCCCTTTTGCAAGAGAGCTGGGTACACAGCTCTTCTCTTTTAAACACCAGTTGCCCACACTGAGCTTGGCAGCCTTGTTTGAGCTGAGACCAACTGGGGCAGTACCGGGTGTCTCGCAGAGGCCTGGAGGTGCAGCTGGTAACTCTTGTGGTGGTGGTGTAGCACCAAGGAGCTGATGAGCTGCAAA